GGTGTCATCTAATAGTACACCAATATCATCCCAACAATCTACTGGGTGTCATCTAATAGTACACCAATATCACCCCAACAATCTACTGGGTGTCACCATCTTACCTGTGTAACACCTTTCTTTTGTGACAGTAGTCAAGTCCTCTTAAAAGTTGAAATAAAAATACCTGGAAAAGATAGAAAGTGGAATGAACTGCAGTTCAAGATTTGAGACATTTTCGTTTGATAACAGAGTGTTTCATCAAGTTTTTCTTGAATGTGTTTAAAATCATTTAACTCCATGACAAAAGAAATGATTTTTCAAGATTGTTCATTAGACTGAAGTCAAGTAAAAAACAAACAGGAATATATCCGGGGTGTCCTAGAGTCCCTGCAGTCCCCTTTGCCATTGGGAGTCTAATTCTAATTTGTACATGGGTTTTTGGGGGTGAGTGGGGAGCGACGTCCATCACGTATGCATAGAATATTGAATTTTAATCTAGTGGTAGTGTGTGTGTATCTGTGATATACAGTGAGTCTAATAGACCTCTTCGGCTTGGGAGTAATGTTTTCCCATTTCAGACACATGTCATTCCCTTGAGAATAAGATTCTTTGTTTGAGTTGTACAACTGAGCGCAAACCTTAAACAAAGAAATAATACTCTAGGGAATGACATGTGGTCTGAAATGGGAAAACGTTACGTCAGAGCTGAAGAGGTCTATTGGAAACCAGTATATAAATACTGAATTTGTATCCTACTATTTAAAGAAAGTGATTTAGTACGGTGTAATTCTTAGATATACCCTACCCTGCTAGTAAGTAGTATGTCACATATTTCTTACCCTAACATTATTCATACTCATTATTGATCCACAATTATCCATGTACTGCTTCAGGTCTTTCTCCTGCAATTATCAAGATATTATCAAGTATATCAGCATTGATTGAATACTGTGTATTTGACCGTTGATTTAGAGATCACTTACCAGATATTCAAAAACCAAAGTCAGTGCTTTATGAGTGTGCACTGTGTCATGGAGTGTTACGATATTAGCATGTTTGAGATCCTTCAGTAGTGAAACTAAATAACAAAACAAATTGAATATTTAATATGACTATTTCAAAATAGATTGAAGGAGTGGACAGCGATAGGTGATTAGCAACTGCCCAGCTGAAAGGAACTTTATTTATATAGCGCACATATTCTGTTTATGGTGAACTGTGTGCATACATCACAATTCAAGAACGCCATAAACAAATTGGACCTCAACCAAGTGAATGCAAATCATATTTTTTGAATGGTATCTTAGTTTTCTTTATTTATAATTTGTTTATTTACTGATTTCCTAAAAGATATTAGTTATCTGTAGCTACTCTGAAAATTTGAGAAAAAATAAAGTTCATGTATGTTTGTATGTATCTAAACACAGATAATCAAGGTATTTCAAATGGTTTAGTCAACTACAAACAACACTAAACATCTCAACAATAATCTTTTTATCTATCACTGTTTGCTCTTTCAATCTTTTTTTGAAATAGCTGTACATGCGAGAGGCAGAAAGAGAAGACAATTTACAGTAAGTTCCCTCCAGGACTTGCAAATGCTGGACCTCACAATCATTGTCTTTACCCCCCTGACAAATGCATCTATCATTTCAGGGGGGTAACACTCACCTTCTCTGATAGCAGTACAGGGAGCCCCCTCTTCATGTTCCAGCCTAATCTCTTTGAGTGCAACTAAGTTATCTGTTATTCTGGAATAAAAAAAATGTATGGTTAACCATCTGTTATGCATATGTCGTGCCGAGAGACACCATATTGTTATGATAAACATTCAAGCTTGCAGCCTCAGGCACTTCACAAGAAGTGCACTTTGAATTCATACATGTAAGTACTGTGAAAATTTGTCAATATTCATGTTTAAATATTACTCGCTTTGAAGAAAATTATTCACAGGAGGGTTCAAGAAAGAAAAAAAATTGTTTATAGAAAATAGTATTTTCAAATGCCGACATTTCATGCTGTGTAAACTGATAATCTAAAATTATTCTTACATCAAAAAGAGGAAAGCAATTAACTTTTTTTTTACCCTCAAGACAAACACAGTTTAATTATCAAAATGCTTAAAACAATGTTGACTGATAAAGTAAGTGGTAGATGAACTACTTTGATTTGAATAATTTTCACATATTTCTTACAACATTTTGTAGTTTTGAGGGGTAAACAGCAAAAAAAAAAAACAAAAACAAAAACAAAACAAAAACAAAAAACAAAAAAAACTGCCTCTTCTTTGCTAAAAACTAATCAGAAAAACTTTTTCATATTTCGATATCAGGGCTTAAAATAATGGCCAAACATCATATCTTTGAACTTGTTCAATCAAATCTTTGCCTTACCAATCATTTTGAACAGTAACGTTTAGCCAGAAACAAAGTATGACCAAGCTAAAACTAATTTGGCCAGTCATCAGGAATGGCGACTTACAAATTTAACTTAAACTTTAATCAAACTTATGAAAAAGAATTTAAGTAAGTTTCAACCTTCATTTATTATGACAAGAAAAAGCTTTTTTAGATTTAAAATCTATGATTTTGTTAGAAATATATCAACTATAAAATGTCTTGGTAACTATGGTGATATGGTGCTGAGCTCCCTTAAAACAAATACACCTGTTCTGATAAAGCTCTATGAAAAAAAAAATTCAATGATAATTTTAAAATGATTATCAAATCCTAAGGGTTATTATGCTTAATATAGACACTGGTCATTTATATTTTGCTATTAAAGATAAAGAAAAACAATCATTACAATAACTTCAGAATGAAAAACAGCTGAGGTAAAGAGAACTCTTAAGTTTGTAATTTATGAATGATTCTATTTTAAACATTTAAAAATAAATATTGAATTTTCAAATATTCTAAGTATATTAAAGTGAAAAATCTATATCAACTCACTTGCTTTTGCCTTTAAATACTGTAGCATATGTTCCCTAAGAAAAGAGAAATATGTTATTGAAAAGTAATTTTGTTTACTGAGGGTGTCAATTAATGAAATTCATAAGAATATGGAAAGGAAATGCGAAAATTGGATTAGGCATTCTATTAATATTCTGGGTTTTTAATTAAGTCTTGAAATACTAGGAGAAGGTCATGAACTGCAGGAACGTCCTGGAGAATAGGTAAACATTATATGAATTACTAAGCTCTTAATGGTAGTTTAAGATGGAGAATTTTGCTCTTTTAGTGGAGCATTCTGTGAGCTCTCCAACCCTTAATGAAAACCCTGAATATCATAGATAAAAGATTTCAAAAAATCAAAATTGTATCTATAAATAATTTTGTTTTTACTTTTTGCCAATTGATCAAACATAAAATGTGGGATAAAATTAATATTCATGTTAGCTTATTAATATTAGTGATCTGTTACTATACCTCTCCTAGTTTGTCTAGCTTGGTGTAAGTTTCCATTTTTCCATAACCTAATTCAGACTGTAAAAAAGAAAGAAAGAAAGGGAAGATTGTATACATGAGATCCAGGAATATATGACTCCTAGATTTGCGCAGCAATCAAAATTATTAATCATAAATAAGCATGGGTAGCATAGTCAGTTACATTTTTTCCCTTTGGGATGAAGATAAACTCCTAAATCCTTACTGTAACTGCTCCAGCCTCTGACTAGAGAGACCAAAGCCATGACTGATCCCTGCTTTTTGATGGAGTCATTCAGGCTACACCACAGTCAAAGATTGTTCACAAATATGCCAAAATTATGATATGACTATTGAGGTGAACAATAACTTAACTTCAAATAGAGGCTTTGCACCATCACATGATGGCAGCCATGACAGGAGGCAGGAGCAATTGAATCTGCTCTAATCTGATTTACATAAGAAAGAATTTAGTTTCCCAAGGGGAAAAGACTCTATTTATGTGCCTCCTGTCATGGCTGCCATCACGTGATTGTGCAAAGCCTCTATATCTGAGTTGAAATTATTAATAAAAGTCTTACCAAGGATAGACGTCTTGATGTCCTACTAACGTTGTTAGTTTGATTGTCTATGGAGGGATATTGATCAAAACTAGCACTTTTCTGTGCAGATTTGGGACTTCTGCTCAATGAGAGATCATTCAAAGATGCACCATAATGGAGGACTGGTAGAGAGAACCGCTTGCTTGGTCCTCCAGAAGAAGAGAGAGTCTGAAACAAAATACATATATTATACAAATTGGTTAATGAAACATTTGTAAATATTATCTGAAATGGTTTCTGTAAAGACAAAGGAAATATCAACAACCAAAATTTTTTGGCATGGATGGGAATATGATGCTACGGATCTCACCGAACTCTGGCGACACACCAAAAATTTGTCTCGCTACCACACCCTAATTCGTCTACTGACATGCCTACTTTTGTTACATGTTTTACAGTGAATGCCTTACTGGCAATGTGCTAGATCCAAGACAGTGACAAAAGTAGGCGTGTCAGTAGACGCATTAGGGTGTGGTAGTGAGACAATTTTTTGACGTGTCGCTACAGTTCGGTGAGATAAGTAGTAAAGTTTTTTTCTAGAAAATATAGCAACCTATTGTGACAAGCTGACAAAGTTTGCTCACATGTAATTGGTCTGCCAGGTCACATAAAGTTAATTGCTATATTTCACTATGGCCACACTTTATAAGGGGGACAGAATGGAGAAGAAAGAGAAAAAATTGAAATAATTTTATTCTGCAGCTGAATTTATAGCTTGAATATGTCTTGTGTCTTAAACATTTGATAAAATAGTGTTTAATCCTATGATATATATGGTATTTGGTGACTATTATTATCGTAACAACAATTTTATTACTATAATATTATTACCATAATTGGTAAAGGTTACTTCGAATAGCTATAGAACTAAACAAGCTTAGTAACAAATTTCATTTCTAAGCTCTAATAAATACAAATTTTCTTAGTTTTCTTTTTGATATTACTGCTTTGTCTCCTGCCCAGAACTATGATCCTCATTGTTGAAAAAAAAATTATGTGACATTGTAGTGAAATTGGGCAATAGATTTATTTTTGAGTCGGTTCCCATGGAAATTTCTAGAGCCTTCAGACAGCCTTCAGACAGCCTTCAGACAGCCTTCAGTTTACTCATATATAATTAATATTGATAGACATCTTACCGATTTGGATCGTGGTTTAATTCTCATAACTGGCCTACTGTAGGTGGTGTCACCCTGGGATACTTTTTCATCTGTAAATGCACTGTCATTTGAATCAAATCCTACACAGGAAAAAAGACAATAAACAAACAAATTGAATAGAATATAAATTTACCCTGCACCATAAAACATATAGCATTGATTTTTTTCTTTTGCGAGAAAAAAATGTTTTTAAAGGAAATCATTGAAGTGAATAATCATAAACAATAGATAAAAACGTTTTGCTCATTTGAGCATTCATTTACATTCACTCAATTCCTCAATTTGCCCCGTAAACAATCAAAAATCATCATTAAATTGCCATACAAATGTACTAAAACTTTCCCATAGTTTATCGACTTCCTTTGCTTTCCTTGTTATTTCACTCTTTAAAATGATGTTTCAAACCATCCTCAAGAAAGCTGAATAATTACTATTATAAATCAAATTAATGAACAGTATATTTGGAAAACAATTCAATGAAAATGTTGGAACCTTTTGGTGACCCATAACACCAAGAAGACAATTAAATTGCAATGAAGACAATTTCAAATATAATTTATTTCCATTAGCGTTTTTTTAGATTTGAGAATCATTTCTTTACGAAATATTTTGTGCTACAAACACTTTTATCTTGTTTAACTTGAAGTGGTGAAATTCTTAAATTTCTTGAAGTGGATTCTTGAGGGTAAAATGTTTGCCATATGTTGTGTATCAACTTGAAATATTTAAACCACATAATCCACGTATCTTTAACTAACCGAATGGTATTCTAAACCCTCTTCTCTGCATGACCCGACCTCTATATGTCTATGTTAATAGTATCCTAATCATTAGGGGCAGCACTACGATATTCTTGTTTTGAACATACATAACCTTTAAAATCGTAAACAATTCTCTTATCGAGAGACGGCCTCAAAAACGCATCACAGCAATATCACCGATTTTTTTCCCGATAATCCCCTAAATTTTCAAAATAGGTAATTTAATAGCTAGAACTTTGAAATACTTATGTGACTTTACGGAATGTAGGGAAAAGAAAGCTCCGTCGATCGTTAAAGATTCTGAGTTTTTCTGGAACGCTGCGCTAAATTTTCGAAGGATTTTTATGCTCATAGGATTTTACGACTTTATTTAATTTTGTCAGAGCTGTTTTGTCAGTTCATGAAAACTTAAACCACTGAGGCTAGAACTAAAACCATTATCGTACAAAAACCGCTTAATAATGTCAGGATTGTGTTGAATAAACAACTATTTGTAGCGAAGAGCTGTCAAACTCCTCAAACACCAACACAAAGCATCGATTTAAAGCCGGTTTTCCCCCTTTATACTAAATATAATAAGTATCCAGAGCTAAAAAATAAAATATTTTATTGGACGCCATTGAGATTTTCGGCAAAGTGACAGAACTTTCACGAAATTATAAAAACTATTTATTGAAAAAACACTGTACATCAGGCAGATTGCAATTGTCCAGCGCTCGCACGACAAATATTATTTTTAGGTTCTAGAGAAGATAATATATTCAAGCCAAGACAAATTTAACCACACAATAAGGATATCTTACCATTATTTCGACCATTACCGTCTGTAGCAATTTGTTCTTCTAATTCTGAGAGAACATCTTCGCTTTTTAAGCCTCGAAGCGATAAGGCTCGCTTAATTCTCCTCATCACTGTCACACTAGACTCAAATCTTTCTCGCAATTATTCAAATCATATCTGGACACTTTAGTCTTGTTTCTGTAGAGAAGAAAACATAGAAACAACATTCAAGACGATCAATACAAGAGCCTGATGTATTTATCAAAGATTTCTGCAAAAAATTCTAGACTTTTCGAAGTAAATTATGAAGAACAAGCTGCCTGACGTCCAGATCTGGTGTTGAGTCTGTTGTTAATACAGTCTGAGTTTTCTTATTATCAAATGTCTTTATTCCTCTGACAATAGGTTAGTTAATACAAGTATTACCTGACATAAAAATGCGACCATTCTCTCGAGAGGAAAGCGTTGGCGTTTGGAATTTCCTTGTGTTCTTGTGTTAATGTTGGTAGACGAGAACTCAAAACACAACAGCGCTGATAATAGACTCACGGACCAAATTCTAAACCCCTTCAGGCGATTGCAGAATCTCGAACAAAAATAAAAATACTCAAGCAAGGTACCTAAGGGCTCGTTCTTCCTTTCTTTGCAGGATAGAGTCGAATATTGTATTGTTTATCTGGTCATCTGAGGACGCTATTCCAAAGACGGCACAGGAACGCCATTTTGAATGTTACCCACAGGACCGTGCAAAGGCTGTCTGATTGATAGATGGTCACCTAAACAACACCAACATGTCCAATCAACGCACTATACTTTATATCTACTTTAAGTCATGTCTGGACAAAGAAACATCTCATTACATACATTACATTATAACTTTAAATGAAATTCAAGTACAAAACTTCCTTTATTAAAAATAGATTCCACAAAGGATTTTTTTTTCTTATTATGAGTTCAATATTCGGCCGGCCTGGGCAAATGAGAATTCAAAAACATAGGGAGCTAGTGAATTTTAATTTTCGCYTTCCTGACACATTTGGTGTAATAAATAACCGCTTGGTTTTTATTTTTTAACGTGTTAAAATTCATTTGAATCTTGGGTTGGTGTTAATCGATTTTGTCGATGAAATTGCTATGCAAAATTGATGAAAATGAGATAGAGGCCGAATAAATGGATGGGCAAATACTTACATAAGGCGTGAGTTCAAACTAATTTGACCTACAGCGAAAAATCGGGAGATGATCATACAGTACTACACAGAATGCAAACATTTAAGGCATTATTTATTTAACTCGAGGTTAGCTTGTATGGCTTGTATTCATATAATTATGTAAATGATTCAAAGTATTGACCACTTTTGGGATCCCTGTGTACATGTTGGTAGTCAACAAACGAAGCAAAGATGGCGACAGGAGGAGAAGGAAGTTCCCTCTTTCATTCAGTTTTGCATCATAATAGCAAGTCTGTTAATGTTTTTATTACACCTAAGACCTTCTATTGGTGTTCAGAAGGTTCTGAAGAACATCCTTACGGTAAGTTTTTGGGTAGATCTTTTACAAATCCAACATAAGATAGTCAGTACATATAAACAGCGACATATTAAACAAATTCCACATTCAGTTTTGTATTTTAAAAAAACGCACTTTCTGTATTAAGATTCCCCCTTAATACGACACTGTCGGCTTTCATCATATAAACCAGATGATATAGCTTCCTATGAATCGATATTATCAATTAACACATTAACCGTATTTGAGATCTTACTGATTATTATAAAACGTATAAAAATGTTTTAACTTTTTACAAACAAAGTGCTAACACGATCGAACATCCTGCAGGATATTTGTCATAAAGCTTATAAAGATTTTTTAATTTCCAGCCTGTGTGGTTGTTCAAAATTTCTTCATCAAAAAAGTGTCTAAAAGTAAGCCAGATTCATAATAAAGTTTTTACTCCAGAATTCTAGTTTAGGCAATAAAAATATTTTATAATCTTAAATTTGAATCAAACTCATATAAACTTAAGCTCATTATTCTAAATAAACTTGAAAACATATTCAAATTACAAATAAAATTATACATTGAAAAATGAATGAGAAAAAATGAGAAATAAAAATTTAAAAGACGTGCAGCAGAGCTCGTGCAGCAGTCTTTGAATTAAAGTTTATATTTTTGGTGCTTCTAAGTGGGTTATATAATGCCCTGCAGTTTTTCTATTGTTTCTACTTTAATATATGATAAATAGCATGTCAAATGCAGAGTAAAGGACATAAGTGCAACATTGTATTTTTTCATTGGGAGTTCAAAAACAAAATGTTTCAATGTTGTGTGTGTGGAAAATAGTTTATTTAATAACCAAGGTGAATGAGTTTATCGAAGTAACAATATTAATTGTATTATGATCATCCGGGTGGATGTAGTCCTGAGAAGGACTGTTTGATGGGACTAATGTTTCGACAACCTGAGCGGAAGTCATATTCAGAGTCCCGACTTCAAACTAAAATATTTACAATTTGAATTCACAATCCACTTAAATTTTAGCAAGAATATTTGTTTAAATGTGTTATTTAATATTTGAAAGTGAGTGAAGTAATGACTAGTAAAAAATTTACTCACAAAGCAATTTTTAATTTAAGAGGAATTGAGAATGAAGAGAGGCCTTTGATCTTTTCCTTGGGTTTATTGTTTTCCCATTTCAGACAACTTGTCATCCCTAGAATATCATTTCTTTGCTTAACAGTTGCACATGTACCCAGCTTCCAGATGCGTTTAATGGCGGGGAGAAGAGCTAAGCACCTCTGGAACCAGGGTTTTACACATGAGAAGACACATGAATATGGATACAACTAAAAAAAAGAATCTTATTCTCAAAAAAAATAACAAGTTTTAAAATGGGAAAACAAATTAGTTACGCCCAAGGTAAATATTAAAGAGGTTCAGGAAAAGTACAAGTATAATTCTAGATAAATCAATCATGTGATCATTTGTGGACATGACTGTCGTGTTGCATGCACAAGCTGGTAATTTTCATCAACATTTTAGAAAGAAAAACTCAAGCATCAGCCAATCAGAAACAACTATTGTTCTCATATATAAAGTGGAAGCTAGACTAATTAATTCACATATGTATACATGATATAAGATAAGATATTTTTAGTCTTTATTTATTTTTTCATGCACCTGTTCATCAACTTCTTCATTCGTTCATTCAATTAGTCATTCATTTATTCATTCATTCCTTTATTCACTCTTTTATACTTTCTTTCCTTTATTGATCCATTTATTCTTATTCTTTTTCATTGTTATATTCATTTATTTCTTTAATCTCTCTTTTTTTCATTCATTCATTTATCAATTCTTTTTTTATTACTTACATACAACGTCATGTTCATTTCTTTATTCTCTCTTTTGTTTATTCATTTATTGATCCCTTCATATTTTTTCATTTATTTATATACTCAAAAATTTATATATTTATCTCACTAGGAAATGTTCCACCCAGACACTCAATCCCTCTGACAGAAATATTTGCTGTTTCACCAAACAAACAAGTCACCTCTCAAAATGAGGATGGAGATATCGAGATGTCTATGCTGAAGAGCACATCATTTATCATTCATGCAATTAAGAGAATGAAGCATCATAAATGGAAGACAAAAAGACTGCTCTTTGATTGTCAGTTGAGCTCCGAATGCTATGAATGGATTCAAAGAATACAAGAGTTACTGGATGGTGAGATATTTATAAAACTTATGGTCAAATATGAACCTACTTTGATATCATTCTGTCTCAGGGTCAATCTACAATGTTTACATTTGTGGAGGAATTGTTGCATAAAGATAAAACAAACAAAACAAACTATCAGGGGTCTTAAAAAATTGAGTAACAATAAAAATGGTTTGTCTTTGGAATTATGTGAGTGTTGTTTGTGAGGACAACTGGTGCACAAAAGGAAGAACTTATATCAATATTCATATTGATCCCAAATGTAAGAACAAATTCTGAGTACCTCTCATACAGTTCTTGTTGTAGGTTCAATTCAAAGCTTGACTGACAATATACCACTGGGTAAAAGTCTCTGAAGTATTTATATTATTTTATTATTTCTTGTAGGTATGCAACGTCCAAGGAGGCTTCTAATTTTTATCAATCCAGTTGGTGGGAAAAAACTTGCTGGGAAAATCTACAAAGAAAAAGTACAACCACTGTTTGATCTTGCAAATATTAAAACTGAAATTATAGGTATGAGTGCATTAAGTCTAACATGATTATAAATAATACAAAAGTATTTTGCTGGGCTCAGTTGTACGAAGGGTGAATAGCGCTGTCCAATGGATCAATCTCATTCAGTGGATAAATGTATTGGATAACAGCATTGACTTATCCACTGGAAAAGAATTTATCCACAGGATAGCACTATCCAGGCTTCCTACAACTGGGCCCTGATGTGATAAAGTCTAGGGGCTGAAGTGTTATCAAACCTTGGTGCTAGAATTTGGGTGATTTACTACATAGGGGAGTCAGTGTTTTTTTCTAAATTACCTGCCTTTGGCAAATCTTAAAATAAATAAAAAGCATTGTTGTCCTCATGCAACTAAAATATTATTTGCTTATGCCTCAGTTACTGAAAGAGCTAATCATGCAAAAGACTATCTGGAGTTGGAGTCCCTTGATAAGTTAGATGGGTAAGTTGTGATCTGCCACACTAAAGTCCATCAACCAGTCCATCTCTTATGGGCATCCCTCTATCCATCCATCCATCCATCCATCCCTCCCTCCCTCCCTCCATCCATCCATCCATCCATTCCTCCCTCTGTCCCTCCATCCATCCATCCTTGATTCCATTTTGTTTTGTATATTAATTCATCTAGTTATTCTTTTTTATCCATATATCTTCTTACCTTTCCTAATCCATTCTTGCTTGTAAATTCCATTTCTAGTTATTCCATCAGAAAAATTCTTTCTGTTTTATTAAGGTGATGTTTTGTGTGTTTCCAGAATCATCACTGTAGGAGGAGATGGGATGTTCCATGAGATACTCAATGGCTTAATAAGAAGAACCCAAACAGACAATAATGTTGACACAACCAAACCAGATTTCGAACCAGTCCAACCATCATTAACAGTTGGTGTTATACCAGCAGGTGAGGGAGTCTTACTGTGAAGTAAGTTGAGATCGCTTGACTCTTGCCAATGTTCTTCACTATTACCCTCACAATCTCATTCATCAAAACCATGATCCAATCATAACGGTCATCTCATCATTACCATCACTATTATTACCACCATTGCCATTGTCATCATCATCATCATCATCATGATCCATCACCATCATGGTCAATCATCACCTTTATTAGTATTATAATCACTGTCACTACCACCATTGCATTGTCATCATAACCACACCATCATCCTTCACTATCATGGTTAATTATTTTCATCACTTTTATTCACCATCTTGATCATTCATCAAATCATCTTAAATCATAATTACCATTAGCAAGACTGTCACTACCACCAACCACCACAACCATCATCATCATCATCATCACCATCATCATTACCATAATCATCATCATCACCATCATCATCACCATCATCATTATCATCACCATCATCATCATCACCACCATCATCATCATCATCATCATCATCATCATTATCAATCATAATTAATTTTATCACCTAAAACCAGCACATCAAATGTATTTTTACATTCTTCCTATTTACACCATATCTTACCTTCCATATCTTACCTTCAATACATTGTCTTTTTGCTCTCTAGGCTCCACAGATGCAATAGCATACTGTACCAATGGTATTAATGACCCAGTAACGTCAGCACTTCATATAATAATTGGTAAGTGTGTTTACCTAACCCTCCATCAAACCTGACACTCCTTACTCTTGGTCCACAAATTCTTGTCTGCAATCCCCATTCCATTATTCCAGGTCTGTAATTTCAAATCTTTTATTCACAATCTTAAAATCATAACTCCTAAATAATTAATTTTATTTTGAACCTGAATCAATCTCAATCAATCTCTTTCGGGGACAGCGGAGCTAGGGGGCTGAGTGGCTATAAGCTCCTCTTTCCCCAATAATTTTGCTCCCATTTTTTATGTATTTCCTTATTTATTACATCCATTTTGAAATCACAAGCAAATCCTGCAATCTGATTGGTTCCCTGCAGCAGTGATTTCAGCATAAATTGCACGATTTTGAGCTCTAAATTGCACGATTTTGCACATCAACTGATATGAACCAATCACA